TCCAAAAGACTGGTAAAAACGGAGGGCCGAGGGCGCCCAGATACCCGGTCCACAGCATCCAGCATCACCCAGGTTCCCAGATTTCTGCAAAGGCTCTTGACCGTTGCTGCCTTTTATTGTACTTACACTCTGCACTTACCTAGTGTGAGGTAGGTAGTAATGTGCCCATTTTATAGTTGAAAAAATGGAGGCTCAGAGAAAGCAAGTCTCCTACAGAGTACACATTGGAATCTGATTCCAAATCCATGATCTTAAACATAAACCCTATAGTCCTTGTCAACTGCAAGAACAAGCCAGGTTGGAGCTTGTGTAATGAGAGATTGACTAAGACTCAGAGACCCCCAGCCTCAGAGGTGCCAGCTGTGTGCAGGGGCATGTGCAGAGCACTGCTTCTGCTGCTGAGAAGGCTTTGCCGGGTCTTGGAAACTGAAACACAAGCTCTACTTTTCCTCCCGCTGCTTGTTGTCTTTGGAGATGCTGGAAAATGGAAAAAAGAAAAAAAGAAAGGCTTTTGCCCAAAATTTAAGAAGAAACACAGATCACAAAATTAAAGCAAACTGGAGGAAAATCTTTGTGCTACCTGTTATCCCAGAGTCTTCTCATCTTGCAGAGAGAGGCTTCCCTACTCTAGGAGCTGAGTCACACCTCCTCACCTTCCATCACCTAAAAGGTTTTCTTCCTCAGTTCACACAGATCCTGGTTCCCCTGGGTGGGGTCATCAGGCCTGCCCCAGCCACTCCAGACTCAGGGGAAACTGAGGCCCAAAGTATCCATCCAGGCTCCCCAGCAACTTGAAGGTGGGTTGGAGGGTGCCGAGCTCCTGACCACTCCCCTCCACCCTGTTGGGATTCCTGTCTACATCTCCTGGTGTCTTCTCCTAGTCCACGCTTCCTCCCTCTCCCATCTCTTGGGTTGGGTTTATTCCCATTCCAGCACCTGCAGGAGTTTTAGAAGTTTCTGCCCCAGTGTAAACTGACCTTCAAGGCAAGCACTGTGCTTTATTTATTGAAACCACCTCTCTTGCAGGGTGGGTTGTGAGGGGAGGGTCACAAGGAGGTCAGAGAAGACTAACAGATTCACAGTGGAAGGTATTTTCCTAGAAGGAGGCCAGTGGGGTGAGGAGAGTGGGATGCACCCGGTGGGCTATATCATGGAAAGCATTTGAAAGAAAACAAACCGACACCAGATCTGTTAGAAGCCTAAGCCTACAAGGTGGGTTGGGTTCCATCCAGTGCCAAGTCCCTCTCCGGAGCCGCAGGACCGGGTCCAGGTAGGGAGCTGTCCCGGGAAGAAAGAGAGGTGAAAGCAGCGAGTTTGCCGCCCAGCCCCCGGGGGAGCTCCGAAGCCTTAGAGCAGCTCTCAGCGCCGGTGCCGGTGGGATGTAGGGTATTGGGACATCACGGACACCAGATGCTGCCTGCTGGCTTCCCGAGTGACAGCAGCCCAGAGGAGAGGGAGGAGGACATGCTTCCTCTCTCAAGGACTCCCACGCAGGCTTTCATGTTAAATAAAACTTCAGAAGGAGAAGTTGACCCGCGGGGCCTCCAGTTAATATCTTGTAACAATATGGCAGGTTCGGAGAGGTTTGGTGGTCCTTTAAGAAAATGATTACATCACACTGGGAAGGTGCGTGGAATAAAATGCTTTAGATCCTAAAGACAGGAAGATAATGAAGGTAAAAGCCTGAAAACTTCGAGCGCGCTGCCACCTCCGTGGTGCGCTGAGCGTCTGGCATCCGGGAGGGTCACTTCGGGGAACTCTCGGTGCGCCACCCGTCCCGGCCGCGCCGCGCCCCTGCAGGCGCCCCCCCGGAACCCCGGGGCGGAAACGCCGCGCGCCTAGCGCTGGGCACAGTCCGGGACTAACAGTGCTTTTCCTTCTCACTGCGTGGGATCGGCTTCATCCCTTGGCCAATTTAAACATATTATTTAAACACGGAAGTTTCCTGTACAGATTGGAGTGAAACATTTTGCTTAATGGAAAGTAGATGGGGTTCTTCAACTTTTAATCGATATCTTTGTTGAAAGGTGCGGTTGGCCGCCTTTTCACAGCGGGGGAAAGTAAAAACATTTGCCTCGGGTCACACGTTGAGGGCCCTAGATGAGCAACGGCGGCTGCTGATTCTGCCAAAGGCCGGGTACAGGTGAGGTGGGGGCATTTCCCATTTGATCATGTCACCACGATGATTCAGATTAAAATGAAGCATCACATACATGGGAAGAACCAAGCCCAGCGGGCCTGAAAATCCAAGGATCCCAGGATTCTGAGGCCCTAGCCATTATGCTAGACATATCTGTTCATCAATTTGTTCATTGTACTGTCCATTCATTTCTCAAGCACACTGAACTGAGACAAGTCCCTGAGATATTCTCACTTGGACCAGCATCTTTTCCAGTCTGACACCAACCTGGCCAGTCTCTGGATTGGGGCAGTTAGTTCAGTGATCAAGTCAACAAATCTTTATTGAAGTCTACTAAGCCCCAGGCTCTGCTACAGCAGTGGAGGCCACTGTAGTCTGCACCCTCAGAGAGCTTCTAGTCCAGTGGGGGAGAGAAAAAAATTGAAAAGACACAAATGGAATTTGCTGTTGAGGAGGGATTAAAACCTGGCAGGAACTTAGAGCAAAGGGTGGACCTATGATCCCCCAGAGAAGGAAATGGACACCCACTCCAGTATTCTTGCCATCAAAATCCCATGGACAGAGGAGCCTCGTGGGATACAGTTCATGGGATGGCAAAAGAGTTGGACATGACTTAACGACTAAACAACAGCAACAGAAATGGACCTAAAGAAGGCAGACCTCAGTTAGTTGGGGAAGTCTACAAATTCCTCAAGACCCAGGGAGGCTGCACTGGACCTGCCACCACAGATAATGCCCAGTTTTGGCAGCTGCATTTCCTTACTTTGATAGACATCCTTATTGGTAGACAGCCAGGATGGCAGCATTCAGAAAGTGGTGGAAGATCCTGCAAATATTGCTAGTATCCCAGCAAAAGGGAATGCTGCCAAGGAGCCCTCTTCTTAGTGTTTCTCCTTACAAGAAAACTCACTGCGTGTGAGCTAGGTACTGGTTTTACTCTGTGACCCTTAGGACAAGAAAAATCAAACAGCTTCAATCAGATGCACTATTTTAAAACAAAGCTTTCCTTAGTTCTGGAATAGCTTGCTGGAAATCTCAAAAGCAGCCACTCAACAGTGTCCTCCGATCAAATTTTAAATAATGAACATAACCTCCCTTTAGCCATGCCATGCCAATCCAAAAGCACAATTTTAAAATTAGGAGAGAGATCAGGAAGCCAGTACAATGGGAAAAGCCAGGCTATAACACATTTTTACCCTTTCATCCCATGTGTAGGATATGATTTATATAATTGTTACAAAAGCATCTGTTAAATAGAACTATGTAAATTTGAGGGTAATCACATTTGAATAGCCCAAGTTAAGCCACCAGGTCAGGCTGAAGGGCCGTGGGAAAGTCCTGGGGGTACTTATGGTGCCATTTGGGGGAGACCGGTGGGTGGGGAAGGGGGCAGGCAGTTCAGGGACTGAGAAGTTAAACATTCCTTAACAATTAGGGAAGGATTGAGGTCTAAGCCAGCAACCCCAACCCTTTGTTCCCATCACTGCTTCCCACTAGCCTGAGCTTCTGCCATTTGGAGCAATGGAGGTTCTGACATATCAACGCCTACACCTCCAATCTCCCAGTGGTACCCCTGAAGCAGCATAGGAGGAAAAGATGGGGATCGCAAAGCTTTCTCCCCCTCAAACGCACCCCACTCCGCTCCTTCGGTGGCACACAGTAGGGCCTCAGCCACTCTAGTCCTTTTCTGCTCCCAGACTTAAACCTTTGTCACATCTCCCTATAATTTTTCAACTCTGAAGCGTGCATTTCCAGTTACTCCCCCCAAGACCCCCTCCCTGGCGATTTTCAAGTAACTGTGGGGGGCAATACGGGCACCACTACGCAGAGATAGCCACTCCAGGAGTGTGCAGGGGTGAGGAAAGACTTCAGGGATTGAGGCACTTTCTCCAGGTGGCGTGAATAAAGCTGTCGGGTGACTCGGAGAAACAGCTGCCTGGAGACACGCGACGGCCTCGGGGACCTGGCCTGGACCGGCGAGGGGGTTGGGGGGGGGGGGGTGGTGTCGCGTTTTATGCGCGACCCTCCAAGGAGAGAGGCCCTCGTGCATTCCCTGCGAGGACCGACGGGCCTCTGACTCCTACCTCCCAAGGCTAGTGATGGCCCAGGAGGGCAGGTCGCCATTCCCAACCTTTCTCATTTTAATACATGAAAATGAGAGTTGATTTTGGCAAGGCGCTGCTCGCTCACGGCCAGAGAGACGGTTTTGTCGCCCGCGGGCGGAGGCCAGGTGGGGAGCAGCTCCGGCTCCGACATCCGGCTGTGGGCGAGCCCGGCCCGCGACCCGGGTCGCTAAGAAACCCGGCAGCGGCTCAAGGAGCTGTAGGGGAAGGGACACACCCATGAGATGAAGAACCGGGATTAAAATGTTACATTAATTTTTTTTTTTTTTTTTAGTAAAGTGAAAGCCTTGGATGTGCATGTCTGGATCCACGTACACAAATACCGGCCAGGAAACGTAGACTTCCCCGCAGGGAACCGACAAGGCGGGTTAAGGTGGCCCCGTGGCCCCTACCTACTGAGGGTCAAACGCCTAGTGAATTAATTTCTTAAATTGATGTAATGATAGAAGCAAGGGCTTCCCTGGTGGCTCAGTCGGTAAAGAATCCGCCTGCAATTCGGGGGACCTGGGTTGGATCCCCGGATTGGGAAGATTCCCCGGAGAAGGGAATGGCACCCTGCTCCAGTATTCTTGCCTGGAAAATCCCATGGTCAGAGGAGCCTGGCGGACTACAGTCCATGGTGTTGCAAAGAGTCGGACACGACTGAGCAAGGGCAGAGGAAGAAAGGAAAGGAGAAGAGAGAGGCAGCGGAGGAACAAGGAGCTCGGCGCTGCTGTCCTGACCCTCTGCGCCCTCACCCTGGCCTGGGCGGCGGCGGGACTCGAAGGCCGCGTCTTGGCGGCGGCGGGAGGCCGAGGCCGGCGCTGGGGTCCGCCCTCTCGCGGCGCCGGCCTTTCCCCAGCTCCCGCACACACCTCTGTCCTCGAGGGCCAGGCACACGCAGGAGCAGACAGTTGCTTCCAGCGTCCCAAGCCTTCCTCGGTCCTAAACCCACCCGGGGCCCGGTCCCAGGCGACTATGAACGGCGTGCAAGGCGACAGGTCTTGGTTTCTCGGCGTCTGATCCTCCCGGGAGGTGGAGGATCGAAGCTTCTTATGTGGGTGGCGGGTGGGGGGGCCTGAGGAGGACCTCGGATCACCCTGCAGAGAGCGTGCACCCTGGGCCCGCGGACGCGGGGGAGATCTGGCCAAGGCTCGTCGGGGAGGGGAGGGCTGGCGGGGAAAGGGGACACATTTTTAGACCCCGCCGCCCCGGGCCCTGCTGTCTGCCACGCGTCTAAACGGTCCCGCTGAACAGGTAGGACCTGGTGCCGCCAAAGGCAGCCAGCTGGGCCCGAGGCGCAAGCCCCCGGCCTTTGCTTCCAGTCGTCACCCTCGACTTCTCCCTGACCGAGTAGAGATCTGCGGAAGGGGCTCCTAACCAGGTAATGCTGGGAGAGCGGAGCGAAGGTGGCTAAGTTCGGTGGGTGGACCAGGGGCCGCCGGCCCCCAGGGCGCGACTGCGCAGCGAGCGGACCCCAAGGGGGTGGAGGGCGCAGCTTCCGGGAAGGGCGGGGCCCCTTCCTCCGTCCTTGTTCACCTGGAGGTACCCGCGCACCTGCCATCGCGACTGCCCTGACTCCCTCCATCCAAGGAGCCTGCCCACCCCGTTCCCCGGGCCACTCCAGGCGCGCTCTGTTCGTCCTGGCACAGGCCACTTGAACCCGGGACACCCCAGGAGCCGCCACGCGGCTGCCCTCGGGGCTCCCTTACCTCGAGTTCCCCCCCCTCCCGCCCCGAGACCCCACCTCCCCGACACAGAAGGCAGGTCCAGTTGCCCGGAAAGCGCAGCAATCTTTCTGCACCGCGTAAAGGCTGGGCCTCTTGGGGAGAAAAGGTTGGAAATGAGAAGGCTGCAGTAGCCGGGCTCGTTACCTAGTTGCCGGTCAGCAACCTAGAAACAGCAATTTTGTTGGTCGTTAATTTTCCAAACCAAAGACCCAATAGGGCACTGATGATTCGCTTTTAAACCTCGGGGAAATGACCGACTGGCAGCGGGTTCTCTGGAACTTCACCTTGTAAATTTGTTAGGTGTCTTGGAACACCGCGACTGAGATGGAGAGGCTAGAAACTCATCGAGCTGCCGCCTTTCCTTCTTCTTGGCCTCGGGCAGTCGGCTCTAGGAACCAAAAATCTCTGGCTAAGGGAGGCGTGCGAGGTTCCAGTCTCGCCTACTAGTGCTGGCTGGGGGCGCCTGCGGCAGGAATACCCGTTCCCTTCCCACGACAGGAGGCGCTGTGATAGCGGAAATTCCTCGGGCTGCGGACCGGGTCCCCAGGCTGGATCAAGGTTCTAAAACTGGCAGAGTCCACTCTTCACCACCGATCTTGAGCTTTGGAGAAGCCCTGAAGAAACTTCACTTTGGCCATCCGCTTTGAAAACTGGGCGTTCCTCCCCCCCCCCCCCCCCCCAAGCTGAATTTTTTGTAAGATGAGGTCTAGTGGGTTTGAGATGTGGGCTGAAAGGAAGAATTTTTTTTTTCTTTTTAATTGACTCCCTTTATGGTTACAGCCTTTGGTTTGGTTTGTTTCCCCCTTAAAGCTCCGGCTTTTTGTGCACCATAAAAGTTATTGCTAAGTTGTTACTACCCATAGAAAATACCCCAGTCAGCTGGATGTGGTGGAACAGCCAAGAGGGCGTTGGAGAATCACCGGGAAGGAACAAGGAAGCTCATTAACACTGAAAGTACCCCCACCTCCACAGTCAGGCTGAGGAGCCTATGCATCCGTGTACTCTACAAATGGGACTAAGGTCCTGCTGTTGATGGGACCTTTGCACAAAAGAACTAGTTTCTGACTATCGCCCGGAGAAATATGTGCAGACCCACACGTTTGCAGATACATTTACACAAATTGATGGGGCTGGCTTGCAGTCCCAGCGACAGGCTGCAGTTAAGGAGGGCGACTGGCTGCTAAGTTCCAGGTGATTTAATTTCACTCTCAAGCCTTTCCTTACAACGTGACGTTACTCACCACCACCACCCTTTTTTTTTCTTAAAGGGATTGTAATCCAATGCTTTTATCTTTTTTATTTCCTTAACTACACATCTTCACCCTCTCGTGCTCTCCTGCTGATTTAAGAGATTTGTTTGGTTCAAGGATTTAATGTGATTCTCTTGCCAGATTTCAAGGAAGAAAGGTTTATAAGAACAAAGCAGCGGGGGGGGGGGGGCGGGGGGGAGGTATCTGTTTGGAAGACAAGTTAAAACACACTTCTTAAAATGAGATTAATAACAGCTTAAAACTTTGCCAAACAAGAATATTTTAGTCCTTTCAGAAAGATTTTTTATTGCTACTTAAACCTAGTGGTTCTCCGAAAGTACAGCACATACATGGTCACACACACACACACACACACTCAGAAACACACATGCACCAGAGCGCAACCTCTCACCAACTCACTGCCTACCACCCAGTCACTTTAGTTGGTACTCCCCAGGGCTTGTGTGAAAGCCACTACCCAGAGCCTCAAAGAAGCCAAGAGGCTTCGCTCGAAGAAGCACTTCCCACGGATGTCCAGTCCCAGCCCGACCACTCCAGATCAGAGATGGGACCAAGCACCTCCGTCACCACCGCTGGCTTTGGCCTGGCACCTCTCGAGCCGAGTAGATGCATTCCCGCGCCCGAGCCCAGCCTCTCCCGGCGCGTATTTAGGGAGACGTCCCCTCCCCCTGACCTTTCCCTATCAGAAACCAGACGGTCGCCTCCAGCTCAGTCCCCGAGGCTGCGGAAGGGGGGCGGGAGGAGGAGCTGGGCAGAGGGAGGACGGCCCGACTCGGGTCCGCCTGCCCTATCACATAGACATCTATTCTCAGTTTCTTCCTCTTTATGATCGCTACAGATGACAGGGGGAGTAGAGCGGGTCGAGGTGGAAAAAAAAAGTTATGTCATAAAGATATAAAACGGTGTTGTGACTCACCTGCTCTTAGCCGCAGGTACGGGTTTCGTGGCAGCGTCTCCACTCTGCTAGCCAGGAGCCTGGATCGGCCTAACGTCACCTGGCTCGGCTGACTCAGATGGCCGAGTTTCTAGTGACGGGGCAAAAGTGGGGCTTTTTCCTTTTTCAATCCCGAAGTCCGGGGCGGGGGCTGGGGGTGGGAGGAGGAAGTCTGAATTTTCCAGTCTCCCGGGGTTGAACTTTTAGGTCAGGAATCAGAAGGGCGGGAGCTGGAAGCGGGCAGAAGAGTAGGAGGCAGGAGGGGCGCGGGACGGGGTCGCAGCACCGAGGGCCCAAGATCCCCCAGGGGAACCCTGGGGTCCTGTAGCCGGCTCTACCCCCAGGAGCCCGGGCTCCAACGCCACCGCCCCCAGGCCTTCATCGGCTGCGCGGTTCCCATCCAAAACCCTAGCCAGCCCTCCCGGCCCCGCCTATTTTTCTTTTTTCCTCTTCCAAAGAGGGGTTACACCCCCCCCCACCACTACCACCCCGGTTTCCCTCTTCCCCCAGCCTCCCGGCTTAAACCAATTACGCCGCTTGGCAAACGAAGTGAGGGTCTGGTGTGGGGGAGGGGGCTCGGCGGGAGGGGGCCCAAGGGGCGCGCGCGGCGGCGGCGGCGCGGCGGGGCGGGAGGCGCGGCCGCCGGACTGGCGGGCGGCCGCCTCGCAGGTGCACCTCGGGCTTTGTAGGTGCGAGCGTCTTTGTGCGGCGGACAAATGGGGAGACGACGAGGAGGTGGGCACTCGAGCGACGTAAGATCCACATCAGCTCAACTGCACTCATCTCGCAGAGGCCGCCAGCTCACTTCCCGCGGAGGCGCTCCCCGGCGCCGCGCTCCGCGGCCGCCGCCTGCCCCCGCCCGCCCTACCGCCGCCGCCGCCGCCGAGCACGCCGCGCCCCGCAGCTCCTGGCTTCCTCCTCGCTAGGGTGGCGTTGGGCCGGCGCGGGCGCTCGGGTGACTGCAGCGGTTTGGCTCCCCGCCCCCCGCCCCGGGCCGCGCGGCTGCCAGTCGCTTCGCACAGGGCTGGATGGTTGCAGCGAGCAGGGTGGCTCCAGGATGTTAGGGACTGTGAAGATGGAAGGGCACGAGAGCAGCGACTGGAACAGCTACTACGCGGACACACAGGAGGTGAGAGGGGGCGGCAGGAGGGACGTTCCTGAGCCCGTGCTGGGACGGGGGAAGCCTGGCGAGGCGGGCGGCGGGCGGACTGGGGGGCGCCTCCTCCGTGCCACCGGTGCCTACCCACCCGGGTTAGCCCCGGTAGGGCCTTGGCTAAACGGGCCTGGGAGCCGGATCCTCAGCCCGGCCCAAGGACGGGATTCCGGCGATTGGCGCTCAGAGCGGGCGAGACGGCTTTGGGAAACTCTTGTTGTGAAAGCACCCGCTCTCTTGGACGCACTTGCCTCTTGCTTGCGGAGAACGGGCGCTAGAGCCCAGACCCGGGTGCCGAGCGCAGGTTGGCTGGCTGGCGGAGGCAAGAGTTTGAAGCAAGTGTGAAAAGGCTAGAGTTCGCCTGCGGGACAGCTTCTTCCTTCCGCAGTTGAATTCTCAGATGTCTTCTGATGAAAGCGCGCAGCCGCTAACAATGCTCCTCTTGATAATGAAATGATTCCGAAATTTTGTAAAAGTTCTTCAAAAGCCCTGTTTGAGGGAGAAGTGTGCTTCTTCCTCTTTATAACCGCTGGGTGGCGCTAGTGCGAGCTGACTTTTCCTCCAGCACTCCGGGCATGCGGAAAACCTGTTTCTCTTCATTGTCCCCTTGGCGGCACGTTCGTGTGGTTTATTTTATCAATACAGCGTGCACAAAGGGATTGCGAGGAAAACCAGGTACAGAAGGGACCACCTCCTACTCCTAAAAGTATTTCTCTGGAAATAACTGGCGATTAACCTCCAAAAATTTACCATTATTGAAAACGTTTATTGAAACTGCCTTGGATAATCTTGGGAAGAGGAAAAGAAAAGTAAAATATACTTTAAGACATGGACAGAAAAACATAAAATCAGAAAATATTTTCATGGTAATTAATTTATTTAGATTTATATATGTGTACATTCACAAACATATCCCGAGTTTATTTGCATACTATAGCAGAATGTGTACCTAGTTAAATGTTCACCTTTTATGTTTTCAAATAAAGTCATGTTTTCGGATGAAAATAAATTTAAGGATATTATTATTTTTATTAAATTAACAGATAAGTAGTTTTATATTTTTAACATATCTAGTGCATTCTCAGATTGCCTTTGATAAGAGTTTTCCCCTATTGATGATTTAAGAAGGAGCTCAGAACACTTCCTCAGATTTAATTCAGGTACAGTCATCTCCACTCACTAGTCAGTTAAATTCTCTATGAAAAAAGCTTCTTTACAGGTTAGAATTGGGAAGTAGAATAGCATTAAAAGAAAGCAAGTGGACTTTGATTTTTGAATTTTAAAGTATTTGATACTATTCATATAGTTTCAAAAGCCAGCTTTTGAGATGATCAGTGGCAAAATATCAGAATATGTAAAAAATATGATTATTTCTATAAATTTTGTCACCAAAACTTTCAAACATTAGGGGCCTGGAAATAGGTAATGAAATTAGTGCAAGTTTATGAATGGCTGTAAAGTCATGTTAAAGTTAAATGTAGGTTGTGCATTGATATTATTATGTACCCTCCCCTCCCCTTTCTCCTATTATATATCTGTTTTTTCCAAAAGTTACTCAACTTCTGAGTTTTTTCCCTTTTAATATTACAATTGCTACAAGTAGGTGGAAAACACTACTTCTAAATATAATAAACAACAGAAAGTCACCATTTGGTGAAAGCTGCTAAGACAGTAAAGCCAGTTGTTTGGAAATGTTTGGTCATATAGCCATGGATGATTTGCTCTATCAGGGAGAGGTTAACTAACAGTCACCCGGAACAGCGCGGGCCGCTACGTGGTCAGCCCAGGCCTGGCAGGCTTAGGCGAGATGGGTGCAAATCTGGGGATGTTGCCCGCCTAGGGGTGGGGGCTGGGGCATGGGAGGAAGCACTGTAATACCCACCGCACGCTTAAGGTGGAGTGAATAAGCAGAGGATCAGAGATATTAATTCTATTTTCGGAGTTTTAACTCCTTTCAAGCAAAAGGACGGCTTTGCCGAGGCCCGATCTGGGGTGGAAAGTGGGATACCGCCTGGCGTGGATAGAGGCGATGGAGGGGCCCCAGAAGCCGGCCCCTAAGCCTGGCGTGTAAGGCGATTACACATCTTCCTGGGGACATATTTTCTGCGAGTTCTTGTCTTTCATGCCTGCCGAGCTAGGATTTTCCCCCCTGCCGTGCACGACATCTCTTTGCTGGCTCTGGGGAGGGCGCCCGCCGGTTTGCCCCTGGTTGGGGGATCTTAGGCTTTGCAGAAATGGTTTCTTCTCGTTTTCGGATTTGCCGGGGGGCCGGTAGCCGCCAGCGCGCCCACTGCTAACTCAGCCCTTCGGGGCCTCTTCACGCTGTCTCCGCTCCAGGCCTACTCCTCCGTCCCGGTCAGCAACATGAACTCAGGTCTGGGCACCATGAATTCCATGAACACCTACATGACCATGAACAGCATGAGCACGAGCGGCAACATGACCCCGGCTTCGTTCAACATGTCCTACGCAAACCCGGGCCTGGGCGCCGGGCTGAGCCCCGGGGCGGTGGCTGGCATGCCCGGCGGCTCTGCGGGCGCCATGAATAGCATGACGGCGGGCGTGACGGCCATGGGGACGACGCTGAGCCCCGGCGGCATGGGGGCCATGGGCGCGCAGCCGGCGGCCTCCATGAACGGCCTGGGGCCCTACGCGGCCGCCATGAACCCGTGCATGAGCCCCATGGCGTACGCGCCGTCCAACCTGGGCCGCAGCCGCGCTGGCGGCGGCGGCGGCGACGCCAAGACTTTCAAGCGCAGCTACCCTCACGCCAAGCCGCCCTACTCGTACATCTCTCTCATCACCATGGCCATCCAGCAGGCGCCGAGCAAGATGCTCACGCTGAGCGAGATCTATCAGTGGATCATGGACCTCTTCCCCTATTACCGGCAGAACCAGCAGCGCTGGCAGAACTCCATCCGCCACTCGCTCTCCTTCAACGACTGCTTTGTCAAAGTGGCCCGCTCCCCGGACAAGCCAGGCAAGGGTTCCTATTGGACGCTGCACCCGGACTCCGGCAACATGTTTGAGAATGGCTGTTACTTGCGCCGCCAGAAGCGCTTCAAGTGCGAGAAGCAGCCGGGCCCCGGGGGCGGGAGCGGCGGCGGCGGCGGCCCCAAGGGTGGCCCAGAGAGCCGCAAGGACCCCTCGAGCGCTGCCAACCCCAGCGCCGACTCCCCGCTTCATCGCGGCGTGCACGGGAAGGCCGTCCAGCTAGAGGGCGCGCCGGCCCCCGGGCCCGCCGCCAGCCCCCAGACTCTGGACCACGGCGGGGCGGCGGCGACAGGGGGCGCCTCGGAGTTGAAGACTCCAGCCACCTCGGCTGCTCCTCCGATCAGCTCTGGGCCTGGGGCGCTGGTATCTGTGCCCCCCTCCCACCCGGCGCATGCCCTGGCACCCCACGAGTCCCAGATGCACATGAAAGGGGACCCTCACTACTCCTTCAATCATCCCTTCTCCATCAACAACCTCATGTCCTCCTCGGAGCAGCAGCACAAGTTGGACTTCAAGGCCTACGAGCAGGCACTACAGTACTCGCCCTACGGCAGCGCGTTGCCCGCCAGCTTGCCCCTTGGCGGCGCCTCGGTGGCCACGAGGAGTCCCATTGAGCCCTCAGCCCTGGAGCCCGCCTACTACCAAGGTGTGTATTCCAGACCCGTTCTAAACACTTCTTAGCTCCCTGGGACCGGGGGTCTGTCTGGCATGGCCATGCTGGTAGCAGGAGAGAGAGAGAAATCAACAGCAAACAAAACCACACATACCAAGCCGACAGCAGCATAATGAAATCCCAACTATTTTTATTTCCTTTTTTCTTTTTTTGTGCACAATCTTTCCCCTAGTGCAAAAGACTGTTACTTTGTTACTGTTGTTCAAAACGCCTTGTGTATATTATTACAAAGAAAACCAACCTCAAATCAACAAAAGTTGTCCTGCAAAGTTTAATGATCCACAAGTGTATATATATATAAATCCTCCTACTTCCTTGTCTTTCTCCCTTTCTTCCCTCTTCCCCCCTGCAGACATGTTCTAGTCTGTGCAGGATTTATTTAAAAAAAAGAAAGATGGTCAAGCTTGTAAAATATTTGTTTGTGCTTTTTCCCCCTCCTCACCTGATTCCCCTTCCCACACACACACACACAGACACACACAGTTTACAGGTCCATGGCAATACTCTTAACCATAAGAACTGAAAGAGTGAAGAAACAAGTAGACAGTAGGGCTGTTAAAAGTACTGAAGGACAGTGCTGCTCTTACACAGCAAAACATAAACAGATTAGAGCCATGTTTTTCGGCTTGCATTTCAGATACGTTCAGATAGCAGATGTCTCTAAATGAAATATGTATCTATCATATATATGAACTTATTTATGCACATGCTCAGATATGTAGACATCATCCATATATTTATATAACATATAAAGGTAATAGGTAGGTGATAGACCTGCTCTTGAGTTGCCAGGACCAAGAAGTCACAAAGACACCCTCTTCCCCTCCTCTCCACCCACACATAGCCCTGGAAATCAATTCCTTGAGAATTGCCTTTGTCAATAACTCTACTCCTTGTTTTGCAGAGAGCCATGGTCATGTCATTCTGAGGTCATATAACATGTGTAAAATTAGCTTCTTTGTA